CACTGATCTAAAGGGAGTACTTCTACTTAGCTGATCCCTCATTGTCTGAGTAAGATTGTCCTCCAAGCGTGGTGTCCTGGTGGTGGGTACGCAGGTATCTGTGGAACCCTATTCTTGATCCGCGTGTTTTCCTGCAGTGAAGACATAGGTTTCCAGGTGGAAGGCAGTTCTTAACAGGGTTGGCATGACGTACCTTGATCTTGGCATGTTTCTCCCTTTCGTCCTCTATTCGTGCCTCTTCACATTCTTCAGCACCGGGCATTCGAACAAYGTGGCTGGTCCAGCGGAGTTGATGGAGGAAGAGCATYGCTTCAATACTGGTGGTTTTTTCCAGCACTCTAACATTTGTCTGCTTGTCTTCCTAAGACAGTGTTTCTCAACTTGGGTGTCGGGACCCTTGAGGAGGTTGCAAGGGGGTGTCAGTGGGTTCATCAAAGACCATCATAAAACACAGTATTTTCTGTTGGTCATGGAGGTTCTGTGTGGGAAGTTTGGCCCAATTCTATCATTGGTGGGGTTCAGAATGCTCTTTGATTGGAGTGAACTATAAATCCCAGGAACTACAACTCCCAAATGTCAAGTCTCTTTCCCCCAAACTCCACTAGTGTTCACATTATTGAGCATTCATGCCAATTTTGATCCAGATCCATCATTGTTTGAGTCCACAGTGTTCTTTGGATGTAGGTGAACTACAACTCCCAAACTCAAGGTCAATGTCCACCAAACCCTTCCTGTATTTTGTCATGGGAGCTCTGTGTGCCAAGTTTGGTTCAACTCTATCGTTTGCGGAGTTCAGAATGTTCTTTGAACTATAAATAGGTGAACTATAAATCCCAGCAACTACAACTCCAAATGACAAAATAACCCCCCCCCCCATCTACACCCCCCACCTACCCCCAATATTCAAATTTGGGCCTATCGGGTATTTGTGTCAAATTTGGTCCTGGGAATGAAAATACATTCTGCATATCGGATATTAACATTCCGATTCATGACAGTTGCAAAATTACAGTTATGACGTAGCAACAAAAATATTTTTATGGTTGGGGGGTCACCACAACATGAGGAATTGGATTAAGGGGTCATGGCATTAGGAAGGTTGAGAACCACTGAAGAGATTTGCACATTTTCCGGAGGCAGCACTGAGGCAGCAACGCAAAGCAAACAAAATTGGAGCTCCTGGTGCAGTTGTACCTGCACACTCCCTCCTCCCTGTGGCTTCCTCTCACATATTTTATACATGGCTATCATATCTCAGTATGGCAATCCATTCATTCTGAGGTTCAGACGCAGCCCGGGAAGCCAGACTGGGACTCTGGAGGCTTTGAGGGTGCGGTGCTTGCAATTGTGGGAAAGGGAGGCCAGGCAGAGGCCCTCCTCTGGCTTCCCACCACTTCTGAGTCCTGGAGGGATTCCCTTCCTTTTGCAGGGAGCTGCAGGCCTTCCCTCCTGAGGCAAAGCCTTTGACCACGCCCCCTTCGCTTCCCATTGGGCGGGAGGCAGGCGCTGACGTCACCCAGGCCCCGCCCCCCGTCCCTACGCCGACGCCATTTCTGTGAGGAAAGAAAGACGGACAAGAAGGTGAGGCATTGGGGGGGGGGGGGGGTGGAGGGGAAGGGGCGAGGCCTCCCCCAAACACATCTCCATCCGGGACCCATTTCGGATCTCGGCCAGGAGGCCAAAGGGCAGCCAGGGAAGGCAGGAAGAGAGGGAGGCCTTTCCCTCAGGAAAAAGGAGGCTCCAGCTGAGGGCAAGGCCTCCCTCTTTCCCTGGCTGCCCTTTGGCCTCCTGGTCGAGATCCCCTGAGGAAACCTCTGAGGGAAAGGCCTGGCCTAGAGACACAGAGAGACAGAGAGAGAGGCCCAGGCCCTTGCATTCAGATTCCCATCCAGTTTGAAGCATGGGTTTTGCACTCTGGGTCTTGTCTTTACTGTCTTTTCTGAGAACATTGGGGGGGGGGGGGGGATGACAGGAAAGTAGGGGGAAAGGGTTTCCCTCCTTCAACCCCTTCCCCTTTGTAAAAGGAACTGTCCTTCTTGTCTTCTAACCCAATGTATGTCCTTCACTCAAAAATTGATTTTGTCATTTGGGAGTTGTAGTTGCTGGGATTTATAGTTCACCTACAATCAAAGAGCATTCTGAACCCCACCAACGATGGAATTGAACCAAACTTGGCACACAGTTCTCCCATGACACCCAACAGGAAATACTGGAAGGGTTTGGTGGGCAGTGTCCTTTGGTTTTGGAGTTGTAGCTCACCTACATCCAGAGAGCTCTGCGGACTCAAACAATGATGGATCTGGAGTAAAATCTACACAAATACTCAACATGCCCAAATGTGAACACTGGTGGAGTTTGGGGAAAATAGAATCTTGACATTTGGGAGTTGTAGTTGCTGGGATTTATAGTTCACCTACAATCACTGGGCTGTTGTAGGTTTTTCCAGGCTATATAGCCATATTCTAGAGGCATTCTCTCCTGACGTTTCGCCTGCATCTATGGCAAGCATCCTCAGAGGTAGTGAGGTCTGTTGAAACTAGAAAAAAGGGGTTTATATATCTGTGGAATGGCCAGGGTGGGACAAAGAACTTTTCTCTGCTGGAGCTAGGTGTCAATGTTTCAACTGACCACCTTGATTAGCATTTGATGGCCTGGCAGTGCCTGGGGCAATAATAATAATAATAATAATAATAATAATAATAATAATAATAATAAACCTTGTATTGTCGAAGGCTTTCATGGCCTGAATCACTGGGCTGTTGTAGGTTTTTCCAGGCTATATGGCTATGTTCTAGAGGCATTCTCTCCTGACGTTTCGCCTGCATCTATGGCATGCATCCTCAGAGGTAGTGAGGTCTGTTGAAACTAGGAAAATGGGTTTATATATCTGTGGAAAGTCCAGGGTGGGACAAAGAACTCTTGTCTGTTGGAGCTAGCTGTGAATGTTTCAACTGGCCACCTTGATTAGCATTTGATGGCCTGGCAGTGCCCGTGGCAATCTTTTGGTGAGAGGTGATTAGATGTCCCAGTTTGTTTCCTCTCTGTTGTTTTGCTGTTGTAATTTTAGAAGCCATTGAAATCCACAATAAGCATGTGGACTATTTCAACAGAAAGGAGAAAATCATGAAAATGAACAAAATCTGGCTACCAGTATTAAAAAACTCTAAAATTGCAACAGGAAAACAACAGAGATGGGGTGTATATATATCTGTGGAATGTCCCAAGCCCCCTCCCTGCACCCAAGCCCCTCTTCTTTCCTACTCCCCACACCCAAGCAGCCCTCACTACCCACTCCCCATCCCCAAGCCACCGTCTTTTCCTACTCCCCACACTCAATCCCCTCCCAGAGAGGAAACAATCTGGGACATCTAATCACTTCTCAACAAAAGATTGCCCCAGGCACTGCCAGGCCATCACATGCTAATCAAGTGGTCAGTTGAAACATTCACATCTAGCTCCAGCAGACAAGAGTCCTTTGTCCCACCCTGGTCATTCCACAGATATATCAACCCATTTTCCTACTTCCAACAGACCTCACTACCTCTGAGGATGCTTGCCATAGATGCAGGCGAAACATCAGGAGAGAATGCCTCTAGAACATGGCCATATAGCCCGAAAAAACCTACAACAACCCAGTTATTCTGGCCATGAAAGCCTTCAAATTGATAATATTATAATGTAATACAATATACTACTACTACTAATAATAATATGATATTATAATTATATATTTTATATTACATGTAATATTACTAATAATATTACAGTATTTTGTTATAGTACAATGAAATATATAATATTAATATTGTGCTATGATAATATAATATATTGTATTTACTTTTTACTTGTAAGCCACTCTGAATTCCCTTTGGGGTGAGAAGGGCAGCATATAAATATCATAAATTAATAAATGAATAAATTCTCTGTCTAATGCCCCCTTTTGGTCTCTGCCCAGATCATGGAACAGCCATGTAATATTTTATATGTGCTTCTTACTTTTATAATTTTTATGTGCTATAATTATCCTAAACCTAGCCTCGTGACAAAAGGAGAGGCGGATAAGGAATGGCATTATTATTATTATTATTATTATTATTATTATTATTATTAATAATAATAATAATAATATATTGTCGAAGGCTTTCATGACTGGAATGAATGGGTTGCTGTCAAGTTTTTGGGCTGTATTGTGATGGTGTTCCAGCAGCATTTTCTTCTGGTGTTTGGCCTGCATCTGTGGCTGGCATCTTCAGAGAATCTGATGGTGGTCAAGCAAGTGGGGTGTATATATACCTGTGGAATGTCCCAAGCCCCCTCCCTGCACCCAAGCCCCTCTCCTTTCCTATTCCCCACACCCAAGCAGCCCTCCCTACCCACTCCCCATCCCCAAGCCACCCTCTTTTCCTACTCCTCACACCCAATCCCCTCCCAGCCCACTCCCCGTGCCCCCCCCAAACACTCAAGCTCTCCTCGTTTCCCGCACCTCACCACCAAGCGGCCCTTCCTGTCCACTCCTCACAACCAAGCCCCCCTCATTTCTCACTCTGCACACTCAAGCGGCCCTCCCTGCCCATTCCCCATACCCAAGCCCCCCTCATTTCCCACTCCCTGCATCCAAGCCTCCTTCCCTGCACACTCCCCACATCCAAGCCACTCCCCCTGCCCACTCCTCACAGCCAACCCCTTCCCTGCCCACTCTCCCCTCCAAAGCCGCCCTTACAGACCCACACCCGTCCCCCCTCATTTCTCATTTTCCATTCCCCACACCCAATCCCTTCTCCCAACCGTGCCCACTCCCCACTTCCTCCCTCCCTGCCCACCCCACACACAAGCCCTCTCCAGCCCACACTGTCCTCTCTGCCATTCCACACACCAAGCCTCCCTCATTTCACATTGCTCACACCTAAGCCACACTCCTTGCCCACTCCTGCAACTAAGTTGCTCCCTGCACCTAAGCTGCACTCCCCACACCCAAGCGGTCCTCCATGCCCACTCCCCGCTACCAGACCCCCTCTCATTTCACACTGCCCACACCCAATCCGTCTTCCCTGCCCACTCCCACTCCCAAGTTGCCCTCCCTGCACCTAAGCTGCAATCCCCACACCCAAGTTTATTTACAGTATTTATATACCGCCCTTCTCACCCCGCAGGGGACTCAGGGCAGATTACAATGTACACATATATGGCAAACATTCAATGCCAATTTTGACATACAACATATACAGACATACACAGAGGCTATTTAACTTTTTCTGGCCACCAGGGGAGCTGTTGCTTTCATCGTTCATCTGCGACACTGATGAAGTACTTCCGCATTCCCTGCATTGCTGGAGTACTTTGCTGGAGTCTTTTTTATGGCCTCATAAATTAGTTAATTTAGCCTCCCCACACAGGTGGTACCTAATTTTCCTACTTGACAGATGCAGCTGTCTTTCGGGTTGCAAAGGTTGACAACAGGCTACACAATTGGTTGGAAGCCCGCTCCAACCTGGGCTGGCTTCGAACTCATGATAGAGGGAGCTCTCTATGCCACTCCCTGCTACCAAGCCCTTCTCATTTCTCTCTGCCCACTCCCTACTCCCAAGCCGCCCTCCCTGCTCTCTCCCTACGACCAAGCATCACTCCCCACACCCAAGTCATCCTCCCTGCACACTCCCAAGTTGCCCTTCCTGCCCTCTTCCCACAACCAAGCGCCTCTCCCCCTGCCCAAGCCACCCTTTCTACCCACTTCCTGTGCCCAAACTCTCCTCCATGTCCAGTCCCCACACCCAAGCCCCCACATATCACACTCCCCACACCCAAGCTGCCCTCCCTACCCACTTCCCACACCCAAGCCTTCATCAGTTCCCATTCCCAACGCCCAAGCCACCCTTCCTGGCCACTCCTGAGCCACTCTCCCTGCCCACTCCTCTCACCCAAGTCGGCCTCCCTGCCCTCTCCCCACACCCAATCCCCCCTCATTTCCCACTCCCCACACCCAACCCTCCTCATTTCCCATTCCTCACGCCCAACCTGCACTCTCCCTGCACCCAAGCCACACTTCCTGCTTACTCCCCAAAGACACATCACCCTAATTTCCCAATCCCTTCGCCCAAATGGCCCTCGCTGTCCACTCCCAAGCCGCCGTCCCTTTGCCCAAGCTACCCTCCATGTCCACTTCCTGCATCCAAGCTGACCTCCCTGCCTACTCCCCACGCCCAAGCCGTCCTCCCTATTCCCGAGGCGCACTCCCTGCCCACTACCCATACCCAAGCTTCCCTCATTTCCCACTCCCCACACTTAGGGCCCCTTGCTGCCTACTCCCCACATCCAAGCCTTCCTCATTACCCACAACCCACACCCAACCCCCTCCTTGCACATTCATCATACCCGAGCCACCCTCCCTGCCCACCCTAAGCCCCATCCCTGCCTATTGCCCACATCCAAGCCTCTCTCCCTGCCCACTCCTCACGGCCAGGCCACCCTCCCTGCCCACCCACCCCTGTCATGTGCAGCAGTTGATGGTGGTTTGAATTCCTAGCAGTTGGTGGTGGTTAGTGTACAGAAGGTTTGGCATGATAATGACTCATCGGGTGTTCATT